ATTAAAATAATTAATTTTAATAATCGTTCCACAAAAATTGTTTTCTTCTTCGTTTAATATCTAGCTATTGAAAATATCCGATATCGTATTTAATTCAATTGATTACGTACATACATTTATTATATAAATACGTAATATACATATATGCCTGTTTCGGAAATATCGAATAAAATGATAGAAATGAATAAATCTTATTAAACTTCCGAAATCATTGTACAGGTAAAATAGAATAAAATTATAATGTTTACTGTAGTTTATAAATTAACATAACTTTGAGTGATCCGTGTTTAATTTAATATTTTGTCTTTAATATTATTTGAACTTGAATTAAACCCAAAACTCAGTCAGAAAACCCAAGTATAAACTCGAAAAAGCACGTTTGATTGAAAGAGAAGGTTGTTCTTTTCTCTTGTAAAAACTGATAAAGTCCATTTTGCTACCCTTTGAGCAAAGTTATCGATCACAATTCAGTTTTCGAACCTATCCCGTCAAAGAGCCGAAGAATGCATCTTTTTTTTGGTCCTACATCGACTCCCGACGACATATTGGATTAATGGACGTTATAAGGTGAAAGAGCTCTTGCCATTATGCAATTTACGCAGGCGTAATAACTGACTTTGATCAGCAGCACGGACCACTGCCGTGGAAAGGTTACCGTGCAAACTATGTCACCGACGTATTATTCTTCTGAAATTTTTAGAAATCCTATTTCCGCTATCGACGCAACATACGATAGCTAACCCCTTTTGATTTGAATTCCGGAGACTCCATTAAAAACCGTTAATTAACCCTTTGTGGCAGAGGAAATACGTGAATGCTTAAAGTTAATAGTATTCAGTGTGTAACATTGTAAGTAAGTAATTTCTAAGTATGTTAAATCGCATTAGTAATAGCGCTGATTATTATATAATATTGTTATTTCCTAAAACATCAATATTTTTTTGGAATACATCGAGAAAAGATTTCTAATCTAAATTCTCATTTCTAAAAAAGCTTATTTGAAATTTATTATTAAAAAGAGACATACCTTGCAACCTCATTTATCTTTTTTTACATTTTAATTATTCGAGTTCAATAATAATAATAAAAACATTAAAAACAATATTTCTTACTCTATCGTACTCTGATTTTATATCACGATCTATCAATTTCTGTATTTTAATAATTCAAGCATAACGATAATTAAAAAAATTTGTTGACAAAGTATTTTTTATTCTGTCACACTATCACGATCTATATATTTATTTTTTCACTTTGATAGCTCAAGCGTAATAACAATATAAAACAGAACTTACGGATAATGAAATATTTTGCATTCCAGCACACTATCATTTTATATCGTGATTTATATATTTATTTTTATACTTTAATCATTCAAGCATAGTAATAATATAAAAAAAGAATTCATCGATAATGAAATATTCTTTATTCTACCCTGCTATTTCATATCACGATTCATATATTTATCACTTCAATATCTCAAGCATAATAATAATATAAGAAAGAACTTGATATTAGAAAAATGAGTTAGACCGATAATGTTCGTGAAGGATCGAGATAATGGCCACCGAATCGTTACTGTCCGTATTATTTCTCAGCGAGTCAAACATCATCGATGTTGTGAGAGGGTATCTGACAATCGAATTCCTTATCACGCGATCTGCCGTTGTATCGATGCGTACTGGATGGACAGCTGTCATCGGCATGCGGCCATCTGCAAAACTGCTCGGTGGACAAACCGCGAAACAGCCATCCGGCCTGCGCCCGTTTATTACGTTGTCCCAGTTACGTATCCCTCGTTTGGGGCCGATTATAAACTCGCCGATTGTCGGTCCGTTCGTGATCCGTCAATAATTATGCCATTTCCCGTCGTCACAACAGTTTCCCCGGAAGACGAATCGATGGACGCTGGAGGAACGCTGAATTCGTGATACCCTTTGCTTTCTGAGGAAGAACATTCACCAGCTGAAATGGTAATACTGATTGATCAAAAGGAAACTTGGAACTTGAAATTTAGATGACATAAAAAAACCATAATAAACTGATCCTGAAGAATACAAATGGAAAAAGTGATATTCAAGTAACTATTTAATAATTTACAATACTGTCATAATAATAGCGATTTACAAATAATTTTTCTATTTCATTATAGTAAGTAGCCCGTTTTTAATGGATTAACTCTTCACAGTTCAAACTCGTATGTTATAAGACAAGATTATCTTGTCATTAAGCTTTCTGTGACGATTCCTTGGCAGTTTACTGTATTCTTCAACAACCGATAACATATTCAACATAGGAATTCTACAAACGAAGTGTTTAAAAAATGACGAAAACACAATTAGGAATTTTCGAAAACATATACAAATTCTCGTTTTATCGATAATTTTTTTCGCTGCTGGTAGTTTGCCACGATTATTAAGACGCTATTAATCTAACCACACCTCCGGTATACGAAATTATTTCGTTTCGCGTGGAAATGGCAGTCGCGCGGCACCCTATAACGATAATACGTTAGCTGGAACGAGCATGGGTATGCAGGGTGGATACCATGGAACGCCAATAAACTGCCTAAACGCATGCATTAACCATAAATTCGACTTGCCGTGGGTTCCAGGAATTTCGGTACGGCCGTGGTGAATATTAATTTATCGATCTCGTTCGCCTTCCGACTGCAAAATTATCAACTTTACGCCCGACCCTGAGCGAACTTCGCGTCTATAGCATTTCTTCGCGAAACATATTCCTTAGAATCTTTCGGAGACGTCCTAGGAACGTTCATTCGATTGTTTAGTTGAAGGACAACTCGTCGGCAAGTCACGATGTATCACATAATAATTGGTAATTAATAATTAATCTTGATATAGGCATTAATGCACGGAAAGGATGAATAAGTGACACAATAAAAAATTCTCCGCGAAACAGAGTGATTTCGTTAGAGGCAAAAATGATCCCGAAGCAATTTCTACGCGACAGAAGAAGCGTGCCGAAGGAATGGTGCATATTCAGGAAGCTATTTTCGAGCAGGTGTCGCTTGATTTTATATCAGCGTGATGCATGGATACATTGTCTGACATCCGGTATGAGATTGCCTTCTTGCATCGAGAATCTTGAAGTGGCATTGATGTGAAAATTGGTCGCGTCGACACGGCTTTATTTGATGGATCGGAGCTGGGACATGATGAAACGGAGAAGCTTGTAAGCCTCCAGACGAAAGGGAGAATGCATCGCGCGTCAGTATCTTATATTAAAATTTTCTCTCCACACGGTCAGGCGAGCTTATTTTTTTACACGCTTCGAGTTTCCGTGAAAAGAACCTTCATTCCAAAATAATATGTTTTCCCTTCGAATATTCGGTTACAATTTGAAACTAACAGTATCGTATTTATAATCATTACATCAATGATCAACCAACTGTAATCTACGTTTTCCACGGAGAAATTGAATGTTCAATTAGAAAGTTATAAATGGAAAATATGTGGAATTATAAAAACTGAGATAAATGAATTCCGTTTAATGCACAGAAATATATAGATATTTTTAGCATGAGAAATGTGTCAGCTGCCCAATGCTGACACAGCAGTCAAAATATAAACGCCGCGAAGCGACAGAAAGCGATGCACTGGTTTCAAGATTGATTCCCGTGGGGTAACGTCGCGGCGATGCCAAGAAAACCAATCGACGTCCATTCTGTCGCAATTAGAACCGATACGTCCGGAGGATGTCCGTGTTCTGCTGATATAATTGGCCATACTGTCGGCCAACGTAATCCTTCTGCATCGAACTGACCAATTGAGACCTAAACCGAACCTAGCCCAGGACTCAATGGGTTCTCGTTAAGAGAACGGCGTTGATAAATGGAGTATAATCGAGGGTTTGCGTTTAGTGTCGCGCAGCCCACTTAATTGCTTGTAAACTATAGGCGGCGCGTCGAAACGCCGGACAGTATAGCCGGTAATCCAATCTCCCGGCGTATCTAATAGCGTCTGTTGCTCGGGAGTACAGGTACAGAGCAAGAAACCTATGCTCTTTGTCGGGATTGGCTCAATATTCGCGGTTCGAACAGTTCCCCAACTATTCCCATTGAGATTTCCTTGTTTCTGTTAGGAACCATTCGAATTTGCCGCGCTTAGAATCGTTACGGGCAGCCTTCAAAGGAGTTGATTTTGATTGTTGTTGCAGAGACTATTTTGATGATTCGATCGGCTGCGTTTCCGTTCGTCGGAACGCTTGTTTGTCAATATTTTGTAGATCTTTCATTCGAAGTTAAAACTAAACGCGCCGACACTTTGTGTATATCTACACTTACTGTAAGTAGTCAAATAGATGGTTATAAAATAAAGGTAAACAAGTGAAAGATAAATGTTTCTTGTTGGAAACACAAACAGAGGAAAAGGCAAAAATTGAAAACCTGATCAATCGGATAATATAACAATTGGTTTAATGTGAAATGAACGAAGGAAACCGGAGGGTTTTAAATCAAATTGTGAAACCGGCCATTTGCCGGTCATTAAACCGGTACGTTTAATGTTAAATAATATGAAACCTGAGTATTAATAAAAATTTAGAAAAATCTGGTATATCATTTCGATGTATTTGATTTTAACATCCTTTTGAAATCTTATTATTTGCTACTTTATAATCGGTATTGTTACTGATATAATAAAATGGTTTGGTCGACGGGAAACGAAATAGAAAATGGTGAAAGTGTTTTAAGTAATAGTTGGTATGGAAAGTAGACGATTATTAATTCCAGTGAAATTTTTATTGTTGAATGTGCCACGTTCCATAAAGTCCCGGATTAAACGGCGTGTTGTGCGTTGCTTTGCGCGAATGTTTTACGAAACAAACGGCGACTACGATCGACTTTACGATATCCTAACTCGATATCGCTGCGCCGAGACCGGGGCACGGTTCAGTTGTAACTCGATTCTGTCGGGTCAACTTATTTCTCATCATCGTGGGAACAAAATTCTTGAAAGACGTCCTCGCACCTGGAAACGATGACCTCGAGATCGATCAACGACAATGTCGTCGAGATCCGAAAATCGAACCAGTACCTCGGAGCCTTTTTCGGTGAGCTAACCTCTGTCAACATTTTACTCTAACCTCGTGCAACGTTACAATAACTGTCTTGCATATTTTCACGCGAAAAACACACTGTTAGGATCAAAGCTTTTATTAACTACATTATTTCGTCGTACTCCTTAAAACTACATCAACACAGTGCATCTTATAAATTTCAAAGGGAAGTTGTCAATGAAAACCGCATCTATTGTCATTACATTAACGAAATTTTTACTGTTCTTTGTTCATGGAGTCAGTATGCTGCACAAATATTTGCTGATATACGTTTCGATATATTTTATCCTCTTAATTATCTTCGCTTCGATCCTCTCTGTGATATACTTTTATTTAGACACGTTAATGAATACCGTGCCAATGCTTCTCTAAATTAACACGATTTCCTTTCATAAATTTCATTCGTATTTTGTACATGTTCCTTCTCGCCCATCATTATTTCCATATTTTTCTGCTGCACGATCATCATTAGTTACCTAAAACAAGAAAAACTCCAGCTTCACAACCAGCGAGCGCAGTATTTCCTACAATATTCAATACCGGAAAGTATTTTCAAATTTCTCCCTCGCGTTCTGCGCGAGAAGATTCCAAAATCCGAAGCAACGGAAAGAGCAAGCAACCCTGAAAAGCTGCCTTTCATCAACCCCCGGGCCTCTATTCATTCGTAACCCCTGAAACACCTGCGAAACACAAAATTAACCAACGCCGAACGCAGTCTCGCCCCGTTTCCAATTTACGTCCAATTCACGAATTTTTTCCTGATTTCCATTACGCGGCAAACTTAAATTCCCGGGACCCCGTGGAACCGCAAAACCCAGCCATTTCGTTCGTTTCTGCAAAATA